TTCTAATTGGTAGTCTCCCATCTACTGTTGTAGCCCTCTTACATGCTTTGGAACAAAAATTCTAAACATAAATAAAATTTATATAAAAAATGTGACAAGAATAACAAGAATAATGTGATAGTGTCACTATTATAAATAAATTCATCTTTAATAGTGCTCTGTTTTGAAATAAAAGTTCTACAATAAGTCACATGATTCGACAATAAATTCATGCCTATATGATTTTTTTTCTTTGAGGAAAGACAAAATATCATAGCACTTAATAAATATTACAAGTGTCATTTGCTCCATTTAGAGGCAATTTTAGCAGCAACATGTGCTGCTTCAACTACCTTTCTTAAAGCTTTAGATATACATGCATAATCAAATTGATTACATAGAGACCTAATATTTAATACAACATTCCAAAATCTCCCAATCTACTTCCTTAATCTTCTGGATAATCTCCCAATCTACTTCCTTGACTTTCTTAATCTTCTGGATAAGCACTTGGCAATCTGCATAAATAGTAATGGCTTTGATATTCTGTTGGACACACCAGTTCATAGCTTCGAAACAAGCCTTTGCTTCAGCCATTAATGCTGATAGAGCTACAAAAGTGTATTGTCTATACACAATAGCATGCCCACTACAATCCAATGCAACCCATGCAGCTCCAGCTTGATTTGTTGAATGATATCAAAACACACATCTAGCATCCAAGAAAAATTGTTAGTCACAATAAAAGCATTATCGGCGATACTAGATATAGGAGTGAATGATGAATTAATATCTCTCCAAAGCTCCCAGCCCCCATCCTCAAGACAACCCCCCAACTGCTCAATGATATTCTGAAGAAACCAAAATGGATCATCAACCACTCCTTCAAAAACAACCTTATTTCTATGAAGCCAAATACCCCATAACCCTTTGATTGATGCCACAACATCTTCCTCATTAGGAGCATTCCGAAACCAAGTTTCCAACCACTCCTGTACTAACATCGCCTCACCAATGTTAAAATCAAAGCCCAAACGAGATCCCCGCCATATATATTTAGAATACAGACATTGGAAACATAAATGTTCAATGGATTTCTCCTCTACCAAACATCTTGGACAACACACAGAAGTCTCTATACCCTGTGAACGAACGATAAGTCGCACTGGCAATAGCTGATGTAGTAGTTTCCAAATAAACAAAGCCCATTTAGGAGGAATATTGAGTTTCCAAAGTCTTTTCCAAACATCCCTTCTATTGTGTTCCCTAATTGGTGAGATTACAAGTTTCTCGGAAACCACCTTATAATACTTGACTTGACTGAATACCTCCCATCTTTGGTTAATTTCCAAACCAATTGGTCCTCTCTCTCTTCCAGGGGAAGGTTTGTACCAGAAATAATGCTCGAACTAAAGGTTCCCTCTATACCTGATTTTGAAAATCAATCAAGTGCTCCACCTTAAATGAGCTAAAACATTGCCCCACTCTTCTTCCCGCCATCTCATTACTGAGAGTAGGAATCCAATTATCCTCAAAAGGGTCAATATACTTGCCATTACCCACCACCCACAATTAACCTTTCAACCCCATGAACAGCTCCTTTTAGGCTTAGCATGGATGAAATTAGTCCTACGACAATATTTTGCCAATAAAACTCTACTCAACAGAGACTGGGGTTCATTTAAAATTTTCCATGCCAATTTTGCTAATAGCGCTTGATTAAGAAAACCCGGATCCCTAAAACCCAACCCTCCTTCCAATAAACAAAGAGACGACCAACTCTTCCAAAAAAACCCCAAACCATCAGCCTTTTTCCACAGAAAATTACTAATTATACTCCGAAATTATAATGTTTATTTTAATTCGCATTACAGTTAAGTTGGTTGGCTGACGAAGCATTTTAGTATCTAAAATGTCACTAACATAATTATTAAGAGTTAGATTAGTGGGAAAAGAAAAATTACACTTATGTCGATTTTTCTTTATTTGGGTTTTCCTTGCCTCCCTAAATTCCTCTTCAAATCTTTAATCTAACTCTTCCTACAAGTCTTTTATTCAAAAACTGCATATTAAATTATGATTAGGATATGATTAGGATGGGAAAAAACACATGAAAATAGTAGTTTTATATTCATCTCAAGTATATTGATGGAATATTTGAGTATTCTTTTAAAGTTATAATAATACTTAATTGTGTAAATTACATTGGTATTTTTTATATTTCGGTCCTTATGTCATTTTGATCTTTATAATTTCAGTCTCTATAATTTCAATTGCCTCAATTGATTCGAAATTCATGATTTTGTCTCCTTGATTAAACTATTAGTGCTTTTTTGATAGAATTGGTGTTATCAATTTGATCAAAATTGACACAAAATTTAAAATTAAATATCAAAATCAATCTAATTGAAATTATAGGTACTAAAATGAGCAAAATGCAGGGATTGTAGATATAATTTTCCAAACGAATTTGATATCATGAGATGAGAATAAAAATTTATGATTATATAAAAAATAATAGAGATAAAACTTTATTTTAATGAAAAATATTCAAACATAAGATGTAGTATCAAAGCTAGGACTATATAGTCTATTGTAATTTATGATTGTATAAAAAATAATAGAGATAAAACTTTATTTTAATGAAAAATATCCAAACATAAGATGTAAAATCACAGGTCAGAGCTAGGACGATAGTCTATTGTGACGTCCTCTCACTCCTTGTTATCCTTGTGTTCTATTTATAAAAGTTGAACATTGCTTAAAGTCAAAAATAACAACCACAACCATGCTTCTTAAAATATAAAGATATTAAATTTCTCATGACACATGTAAATCTAAAATATATATACTAAAGCTTTTTAAGCTAAAACAAAAATAATGAAATGTCATTAGTTATAATATAAGAAGTTTCTAACTCTTATATTAAGCTGGTTGTGAAATCTTTGTGTAAGATCAAAGGAATAGAGAAAATGTCAAGTTAATATAAGAAAGCTTATCTAGAACTAATCAATGGACCTTCACTCCCATTCACATCCAACACTATCCGCTTATAGTTTTCTTCTGCATCACAAATTGACTTAAATAAATAACCATTTATTCATGAGAAACTAACAATTTTAGGCCCTTGATAAGAACAAAAAATAAAAAAAAAAAATCAACAAAATGAAGAACATGAAAAGGATCCATCAATTAAACTGAAGATTAAATAACAAATAACTTGATTCTAATCTCTTCTGTGTAGAACATGGATTATAGGATTACCAGTTTATTAGAAATAATGGTGAATAAAGGGAAAAAAGAGAGTAAAAAAATTAAAAACAAAAAAAAAAACGAAAAACAATGTGTGTGTGAGAGAGAGAGAGAGAGGGAGAACATTTACCATTTTGGAAAGCACAAGAGCAACATTAATGAATATTTGTTTTGCAGTTTCAAAATACAATGGCTTATGGGTAAGTTGGACCAATGGCATAATTACTTTACAAATAACTTCATAGTTTAGCGCCATTTAGCTTGTCATTCAACTACTTAAACAATCATTAACAGTATATTTAAATGTGAATTTTGTTAATAGAAAAAACAAAAAATCCACTATATAGGAGTATTTGTTTTTCATTAACCACACAACAGAGAGACAACAACTGAAAATACATGATGAAATGAATACATATTTATATTTATCTGGCTTAGGTTACATGCTGTGGTTAAATTGAACAACCAACAGAACAATAAAAAGGGAGAAATAACATTATTGTATGTTACAGTAAATATGCAAAATGAATTTCACAACACAACCACCAAAAGATCGAATGAACCTAAATTTGACAAGCACTCCTTCTGTATCGACTACAGGTTAATAAACCACAAGAGTTGCCAAAAAACCCAAGAACTTATTTTCACAATACAATCAATAGCACTCCACTTGACCTGGTGATTCTCTCTAAAATTTTTAGAAATGTAGAACGTGTAGACGAAAGAGAAACCAATCTTCGAATGATGAGTTCACTCCGCTGATGGCCATAGCTAGAGCCTGGAAAATTAATTTGATCAGAAAAATATGCATTTAGCTCTGATATATCAATAAAGAAATATTGTCAGAGCATATTCACTACAATTTATAGTTACTATCTTTGACCAAATTCAAAGATTATGCATAGCCAGCAAGGTTGTGCATGGATTCCCCACCTAGGAATAGGATGGGTTTCTTCTTGCAAGCTACTCTACCAGATCAAATCAAAGAAAGTGCGATCTGCAAAAGAAATATGATTTGGCCTAATTCAGTTTTCTTATACTACAAAAAGGAAAACAAATCACAACAAAAGCAAATAAAACAACATATTCAATAATTTCTGTTTTCTACCATAGGATATCAGATGTTAAAAGGGCTATGGCTCCCTGAAGTGTAAGACAAACTCCGAGACACTGCCTAAAGACAAATTGATTTATAAATGTTTACAAACTTTGATGCTTCTTGAAGTATCCTAGACCAAGCACTTTAAACTAAGAACCCAAGAGTAAGCTCCACATAATTCAAAATTCAAGGCATCAAGTATGCAGTTTTCATATGTTTTGTTGGCTCCCAATTGAAATGAGAAAGATCAAAATAATTTGGTAACACAAATATTTGATTCTGAAATAGACTGAACTAAAAAAGAAAATGGGAGGGGGGGTTGATTCAAGGCATCAAGTATGCAGTTTTCATATGTTTTGTTGGCTCCCAATTGAAATGAGAAAGATCAAAATAATTTGGTAACACAAATATTAGATTCTGAAACAGACTGAATTAAAAAAGAAAATGGGAGGGGGGGGGGGGGGTGAACTTAATACCTTAGAAACAAACATTAAACCTCTCGTCTATATTGTAATGGAAATTTCATCTTTTAATATTCTCTTCACCTGATTTCTTGTAATTTGGATGGGATGCCAGTTATGAACATTAGGTTTTCAGCCTGCTTTTTGTCAAAAGAAGATAAAAAGATCAAATATGTGTGCGTGTGTGTGAGAGAGCGAGAAGGGGGGAAGAATACCACTGCAAATCTTGAGCTACACTTTATTTTTGTCATGTTTGTTTTAGCTTTGCTAGCTTTCCTTTTCAACTCAAAAGCACTCAGCCCTTCCAATAGCGTCCGCTGATCCAGCTGATGCGAGAGTTCCAGCTCAATCACCTATTTCCAGCAAGCTACCTTCATTCAATTCAAATATCAGATAGTGATTGTGCCAATTATTTACATTAAAGAAAGATTAGCGCTTGCTAATTTTAAGAGTGTCATACTTAATCAATTAAGGATAGAGGGAGAATACCACCTGCAAATCTTCTGCTGCACTTGGTCTTTGTGACCCAAAACTACAGACAAAATTAGTCTTTTGGCTTCACATGTAAAATAATCTGTACATGAATACACGTTTCCAGATGGGTTAGAGATGACTTGATGGGCTATTTAACTCTGTACATGAACCAAACTTGATTTAGAGATTTTTTTTTTAAAAAAAAAAGGCAACAGACTGCTATATGCAATTTGTTACATGCTCCAAGTAACAGATCATGTATTGAAGTGTCTCAAAACAAAGAAATTGATACATCTATATACATATAGCCAATATGTAGAAAAAGGCCGACATTAACAGACAAAATTAAAATTGAATTGAATTGAATCATACGATTTGAACTCCAAACAAGAACTACATACATGATTCAATCCTCCAAGTGGAATGTTGTTGCAACTTCATCTTTAGATTAATTGCCTCCCGCTCAAACTACCTCTGCACATGCAACAAATCAATATGACTGACCAAAGTGCTATAATTGGAAATGTCAACTCAACTCATGTAACTTTTGCATACTCTAGGTAGCATGAAGCACTATGGCTTTTAGAATTAGTGAAATACAAAATAGCATGGAAAACCCGTGTTTAAGGACATGTCATCTGAAGCAATGCTCTTAGGAACCCACAGTTAGGGCACCATGTCATTGTGAGTTTTAGATCATTTAGCTTCAACAACTAAAATGAGATTATTTGAAATTTGAACATCAGAAAAGCGTTGGTTCAAAATTGAAACATGCCATTTCATCAAATCCCATAGATGATTTTTTAGGAGGGATACAAATTCCTCAAATTTCAGGTACATTCTAATCATACCTATAGATGATTTTTTGGTATGGATACAAAATCCTCAAATTTCAAAAACATTCTAATCAACCTATATAGATCATTTTTAGGAGGGATACAAAATCCATAAAATTAAATTTTGATTAACACTGAAAATTGGCCTTTTCAATTGGTTGCAGATAAACATAATAATTCCCATATTCTGAAAACAAAGAAGACTAATATTTAGGAAGTCATTTTTCTCTTCCCATTTTCTTAAAATTAGCTCATTCAATTCACATGTCTTTGTTAATAACAACATAAAACCAACATTTGCACCATGAAGATGGATGCAATGCAACACGCAAGAGCTATATGTAATTTGTTAGATGCTCCAAGTAACAGATCACAGAAGAAACTAACATATATAGCCAATTTGTAGAAAAGGGCAGGTATTAACAGATGAGTTAAAATTGAATCATACGATCTGAACTCCAAACAAGAACTACATACATGATTCAATCATCCAAGTGGACTGTTGTTGCAACTTCATCTTAGATTAATTGGCTCCTGCTCAAACTACCTCTGCTGCACATGCAACAAATCAATATGATTGACCTAAGTGTTACAATTGGAAATGTCAACTCAACTCGGGTGACTTTTGCATACTCTAGGTTACATCAAGCACTATGGCTTTTAGAATTAGTGATATACAAAATAGCATGGAAAATCCGTGCTTAAGGACATGTTATCTGAAGCTATATGCAACTTTTAGTGGCTCAATTGGACATAGCTCAGTTAAAAGCAATGCTCCCAGGAACCCGCAATTGGGGCACCATCTCATTGTGAATTTTAGATCATTTAGCTTCATAAGCTGAAATGAGATTATTTGAAATTGGAACATCACAAAAGCATTGGTTCAAAATGGAAACATGTCGTTTCATCAAATAACAATGATTTTTTAGTATGGATACAAAATTCTCAAATTTCAAGAATATTCTAATCAAACCTATACATGTTTTTTTAGGATGGATACAAAATCCATAAAATTAAATTTTGACTAAAAGTAAAAGTTGGCCTTTTGAATTGGTAGCAGATAAAATCATAATTCCCATGTTCTGATAACAAAGTTAACTAAAATATAAATAGGAAGTCATTTTTCACATCTCATTTTCTGAAAATTAGCTCATTCAATTCACATGTCTTTTTTAATAACAACATAAAACCAACATTTGCGTCATGAAGATGGAGGCAATGCATCGCATGCCTTCCTAGTTGTTTTTTTGTTAGCTACAGAAAATCAAATTTTGACTCAAAGCTAAGCAGGAAAGCATTTTGAAGACTAGTTGATCATTGAAATTATTTAGTTTTTCACTTGATGAGAATCTGCAATTGACAAGAGGAACTATTAAGCTTGAAAATTTTAAATAAATAACTCAAATGACTAATAACATTCAAGGAACAACCTACAAAGTTTGCATAAGATTGCTCCGATTCTTCAAAATCATGTGCATCAACAATTACCTCTTCTCCCTACATTGATTATCAATGGACTGCTATTATTCATTGTACAGCTGGCAGGCAATAAATCCAGCATTTACACTTGAAGAAAAACTGGAACTCCTCCTTGTAGAAGAGACCTTGTAACAAAGCAATTTGTGGGAGCACAGAGAGACTAATAAACCTGGAAATAGAAATATATATATATATATATATAAGGTTCAAAGAAAAAACAAATGTTATAAACTATTACATACTCATGATTTGGCAAAGTGTACACTGGAGACCAGATAAAAATGTATAATAATACATTTAAAAAAGCTAGATTAAAACTGATGGACTTTAGAGAGAGAGAGAGAGAGAGGGAAATTACATAATTGGCAGTAGACTATTTCATGCTTCATCTTGAAGAAGAAGATTCATCATTTGTAGAGGAAGATTCATCATTCATGAAATGCCTCCTGACCTGAAACCCAAAAAGAGGTGGTGAGATAAAGGAAACGAGCAAACAACATTGGGAAGGTGGGGGATAGGAAGGGGGTGAGAAGAGAAGAGAAGAAATCATGAATATGGATAACATTTGGAGAAATATATAAGTTACCTTTAAATCTACAAGACATTGATGGATGGAATATGGGCAATCTTGTGACATTCTTGGCCGCTTTCCCTTGCGCATCCAAGTGGACTGTTGTTGCAACCTCATCGTTAGATTAATTGCCTCTTGCTCAAACTACCTCTGCATGTGCAACAAATCAATATGACTGACCAAAATGTTTTAATTGGAAATGTCAACTCAACTCAGGTGACTTTTGCATACTCTAGGTAGCATGAAGCACTATGGCTTATAGAATTAGTGATATACAAGATAGCATGGAAAACCCGTGTTTAAGGACATGTCATCATCTCCAATCTAAAAAAAAAAAAAAGGACATGTCATCTGAAGCAATGCTCTCAAGAACCCACAATTAGGGCACCATGTCATTATGAGTTTTAGATCATTTAGCTTCAGCAACTAAAATGAGATTATTTGAAATTTGAACATCATAAAAGCGTTGGTTCAAATTGAAACATGTCATTTCATGAAATCCCATCGATATTTTTTAGGAGGGATACAAAATCCTCAAATTCGGGAACATTCTAATCAAACCTATAGATGATTTTTTAGAAGGGATACAAAATCCTCAAATTTCAGAAACGTTCTAATCAAACCTATAGATCATTTTTTGAGAGGAATACAAAATCCATAAAAATTAAATTTTGATTAACACTGAAAATTGGCCTTTACAATTGGTTGCAGATAAATATAATAATTTCCATGTTTTGAAAACAAAGTTGACAAATATAATTACGAAGTCATTTTTCTCTTCCCATTTTCTGAAAATTAGCTCATTCAATTCATGCCTTTGTTAATAACAACATAAAACCAACATTTGCGTCATGAAGATGGATGCAATGCAACACGCACGAGCGCTGGCATGCCTTCCAATTTTTATTTATTTATTTTTTTTTGGTTAGGTATAGAAAATCAATATTTGACTCAAAGCTAAGCAAGAAAGAATTTTGAAGACTGATTGATTGTAGAAATTAGTTTTTCACTTGACGAGCATCTTTAACTAACAAAGTTGCACTATTAAGCTTGAAAATTACAAAACAAATAATTGAAATGACTAACAACCTACAAAGTTTGTATAACACTTCTCTGACACTGCAAAATCATGTGCACCAAAGATTACCTCTTCTCCCTACATCAATTATTGATGGCCTGCTCTAATTGACTTTGCCGCTGGTAGGCAGTAAATCCAGCACTTACACATGAAGAAAAATTGGAACACCTTGTACAAAACCCTGTAAAATAGCAATTTGTGTTAGCACAGAGATATTAATAAATCTAGAAATAAAAAAAGGAAAACATACATATATATATATAAGTTTCAAATAAGAAAAATGTAATAAACTATTACATACTCATGGCTTAGTGAATTGTATACTAGAGCCGAGATAAAAATGTATAATACTTATAAGAAAATAAAAGCTAGATTATAACTGATAGACTTTAGAGAGAGAGAAAGAGGGGTTTTAATTAATTAGTTATTACATCATTTTCAAGACTTAATTAATTATTTGTTTGGTTGGAGACAGAGAGGACTTACATAATTGGCAGTAAGCTTTTTTATGCTTCATCTTGAAGAAGAAGATTAGTCATCTGCTGATGAAGCCATTGACCTAAAACCCAAAAAGGGGTCAGTGATCAAATAAAGGAAACGAGCAAACAGCATTGGGAAGGTGGGGGATGGGGGCGAGAAGAGAAGAGAAGAAATCATGAATATGGATAACAATTGGAGAAATATATAAGTTACCGTTAATAAAAATGTCTGGAATATGGGCAATCTTGTGCCATTCTTGGCTGCTCTCCCTTGTGCATCTTTCCTTTAGAAGGGGACAAAAACGAATTGTCAAAGATTGTAAATTGGTGAGGCGTTGCATTGCTTCCAGGGTGGGAAGATTCATTAGATTCTTTCAATACCTAAGATCCAAAGAATGAAGAGATGAAAGGTTACCCAGCCACTCCAACAGAGCTTCCAGTCCATCAAAATCTTCAATTGACAAGTGTCTCAAGGTAGTGAGGTGCTGAAGTTGATCAGGCAGATACTTGACCCCTTTCCACCCACATAAATCCAGACATACCAAGGAGATGAAGGGGTAGTGTTTGGGATTTGGGTGATGATATTTGGTATCATCATCAACCTCCTCCTCTGCAGTAGCAGTAGCGGGAGAGGGAGTGGAAGTGGAAGCAGATGCAGATACAGCACTTACGGTGGTGGAAGGCCAGGGGAAATATTCGAGCTCCTCTGAGAAGAAACCTATCGTCAATGTTTGAAGGCTGGTCAGGCAAAATAGCCTCTCCTCCCCCTAACCCGCCAATCTTGGAGATCCTACAACCGACAAGCTCTAAAGGGATGGAAGGTTGCATAATTCATCTGGATCAGCAATTATTAAATTCAGACACTAGAATATCTCTAATGTTACAAGGGTTTGTTGTAACAGCCTCTTTGGTAAATATGTCAATTCTTCGCAAGATGTAATCTCAAGCCGCTGAAGAGATGTTAAGCCGCTGCAATTGGACGCTTCTTCTTCTTCTTCTTTTTCTTCTGTTTCTTTAATTATAGACTTCAGATTTGGGCATCGATTTATCGTTAAGTCTTCAAGAGACGAAAGGTTTTGTAAGTTAATTGGCAAAGTTATTTGCCCAAATAATATAGCTCTTCCAAGTTACTTACTGTCAGCTTTCTTAGGGTTTTGCCGCTTTTTTCCACCAAATCTACCAGTAAAACACCAATCTTCGATTTCCAACCCCTAGATACCCCTATTCTCAAGTAAGGGCGATGCGTATGATCGATATCAGCGTAAATTAATTCCTGTAAGGATAACAAGTGACCTGGAATTGTAGTCAACTCAGGGCAGTATCTAATGAATAGACACTTAGCAGAGGAAAGAACATCATGGTGTCCGACGACGATGATGATACCCCAAGCCCACACCATTCTTCTATGTTCGGCATATATTCCAGACGAAGTTTTCTTAGTGCCGGAAATACAACGGCCATAGCTTTTGTTGTTGCTGTTGTTACTGCCCCACTATAGCTACCAGTGATGATGCCATCGTTATGTTGATCATGATGAACAACACTGTGACAACCATAGAATTCAAGACCAATACGTTTCAGATTACTTAATCCAGACATATTGATAACCTCAAGATGCGGAAGGTGTCCGAGTGGTGGGACTTGTTCACATCTCGTACACTTAGATCATTCTATCTTAACCAAATTTTGAAGCAACTGCGCATCTCTACCACTCATCATCCATGATGCAAAACTTTTTCCTTCAAAATTATGGAGTTTTAAACCCGTAAGGTTCCCACGAGGTTAAAGTCCTTCCAACACATCTTTGTGGTTAATGCTAGTAGTGTCTCCTGCTGTTAAAGGATTGCCCACCCTATCCCAATGAAATCCCAACTCACAAATGTTTGGTTTTCCTAATATTTTTGCCTTTTCTGCATCTTCCCTGCTTTTCACCTGTTGGAGATTGTAAATCATTAATTTACCTCTTAGTTTGTTTAAGCTACCCAGCTCTTCAATTTTACGGCCCTCATCCTCACCCACAACAAAGAATGGTAATGTCTGCAAAGAAGTCAACTTCCCTATCATCATTGGCATCAATTTTCTGTTGTGTTCATAATTATCAATATAAAAATGTCTCAAGCTCACCAACTCATAGAACTTTTTTGGAAGCTTTTCCAACCAGGTGTAAGATGGAAGTATCAGTGTTTGCAAATTATAGAGCATGGTCAAAAAGTTTGGCAGTGTTCTAAAAGATGTCCTTGAGAGATCAAGGTACCTAAAATGTATGAACCTACGTAAGGAACTTGGCAACTCTACCAAACTCATGGTACATATATACTCGACTTCTGCAATGTTTTAAAAATAGTGTCCTCAATTTTCCAACATTTTCTTTTGGAATTTCAAAACTTGTTTTTCCCATTAAATCCAATGATAGATGTTGAACCTTAGGATAGTCAATCATCTCACTAGCAATCAAAGTCAAAACCAAACAGTTACCCTTTGAGACATCTAGTGCTAGATAATGCACAAGATCGTGCATTTTGCAACTGGTAATATTTTTGTACTCATCCAATTTTACATCTTGAAACAAAGAATTGTGCAACAAAATATTAAAATAATCATTACCAACATCTTCCATTTCCAAATTGCTTCCCGAAGAAGGCTGGAGATATCCTTGAGCCATCCAAAGTTGAATCAACTCATCCTTTTGAATGTTGAAATCTTTTGGAAAAATAGAACAATACACAAAACAGTAATTCAAATACGGTGATGGTAAGTGATCAAAACTAAACCTTAATATCGGTTGAATTCCTTCTTTGCTTTCAGTTGACCTCCATATCACTGTTTTTGATCAACTCCCATTCATGAAAGTGCTTCTTAGAGTACATTAAACCTCCTAGTGACTTTATTGCCAATGGTACACCCTTACACTCTTCCATCATTTTTCTACCAGTAGCCACCAAATCTGGGGTCTCTGTTGGTCCTCCATTTGCAAATGCTCTTTTCCGAAACATGGTCCAACTTTCATTTTCCGATAGTTGGCTCAAATGATGAGTGAGAGATGGAGATGTCCTCATGGTAGATACCACTTGCCTACTCCTGGTTGTAGCTATTATTTTGCTTCCCTTGGATCCACCTATCCCTAGCAAAGAATTTCTCATGCAGTCCCATTTGTCTGAATTTTCATTCCAAACATCGTGGAGTACAAGCAAATATTTTTTTCCATTTAGTTTTTCTCCAAGCTTTCTCACTATTCCTTCAATATTTTCTATCTCAAACTTATCTCGAGCAAGAGATTGTACCATTTGATTCAATAACCTTTCAACTATGAAATCATCAGATACACAAATCCACATCCTTTGATCACCAAAATGCTTCACCACCTTCTTATTGTTGTAAACTTGCTGAGCAAGGGTTGTCTTGCCCACCCACCCATTCCTACAATGGCGATGACAGGAAAATCATCTACAGTGTTGTCAGAGCTAAGTAACATGTCTATCACTGTTGACACATCACCATCCCTTCCCACAACTTGTTTATCATCTACAAAGGGGTGAGTCAGCCTGAAATTGACTTCTCTAGGTTCAACACTAGTACTAGCAGCATTTAAGATCTAATCAGCTGGTCTAAGACCGATGTCATTTGCTCCTTTACAAAGATCATCTAACAACAAGTTGATATTCTTGACCTTATTAGCCATCTTGAAAAGAAATGGCAAAGGATTTGAGAGGCAGAAGAAGAAGAACTTGCATACCTTGTTGTTCTTGACCTTATTAGCCATCTTGAATCGGTTTTGTACCTCCATCTTTCGTCAAAGGACTTCAAAGGCAAGTTCATCCAGCACGTCATCAGCACTGCATGCAACAGAGTAGAGTTTCTTCACCCAAAGTTGCATGGCTTCTAGATTTACTCGCCGGTGGTTCTCAGCATAACAAAAAAGGGTTTTTACGGCGCGCAATGCACGCCGTAAAAACCCTTCTACGACGTGCAGCGCGCATCATATGATGACTAGTCAAGGAAAGTCATTCACTTTTAACGACATGCTTCGTACGCCGTTAAAAATTATTTAACGGCAAATTTTGTGCGTCATTATTGCTTTTTCTACAACATGCTATAATACGCCGTTAAAAATTATTTAACGGCAAATTTTGTGGGTTGTTATTACTTTTTCTACGACTATTTTTACACGCCATTAATTGATGAGAAAAATAACGGCGCTGATTACACATCGTAAAATATGTAATACAACGACTTATTATGTCTTCCGTAGAATATACCGTTTTTTTAAAAAAAAATAAAAATAATAAAAAATTCTGCAGGTTTTATTTGACCTAGGAAGCATAGATACGGACACGAGATACGGATACGACACGATACGGATACGGCGATACGACAAAACCTAAAAAAATAGGATACCGGTACGGCTAGGATACGTTTGTGAAAAATATATTATTTAAAATTATTAATAGTGAGTTATACATAAGCTAAAGAACGTTGAGAAACCACAATGTAATTTTATAATGCAAAATACTAACATTCAAGAATTTTGTGTTAATTTAAGTTAATAGCTTATTTACTTTTTAAATTTTTAATAGGCCTTGCAAATATTTTATTTCAATATCAAGTTTAATATATGTATATGACAATAATAAAACAATTCACAACTTGTCCCTATGTTTTTTCCTTTGACATTAGTGAAAAATATTGTATTCAAATTTACTTGCTTATTCATTTATTGATATTTAATTTTACCATTGTTATATTCTCTTATTAATTCTTACTTTCTATGTAGTTATATAAGGATATGCATAAAATAATTAGGATACATCAATTTGATAAATTCTATTATTTAACTCACTATGCTCTTCTTATCGAAGAACTTAACAGAGTATTAGAAAAATATTCTTATATTTATACTTGCAATTATATTATATTATATTACTATGCAACAAATGTTACAATTCTAATTTCATAAAACAAGTAAACATGACTTAGAGTATCCGATACTTCAAAATTAAGTATCTGATACTTCAAAATTAAGTATCCGATACTCCAAAATTAATGAAAAAATAATTAATAAGTATCCGATACGTATCCGCGAGTATCCAAGGAGTATCGGTATCCGATACAGATACGATACGGATACGTCACCCTATTTGAAGTATCCGTGCTTCATAGTATTTGACCAATTTTGTACAATCTAACAAATATTACAAACAAGCATCACAAAACATCAATCAACCACCAAAATATTATTTGAAACATTAAAAAGAAACTATATCCATATATTATAAACATTCAACAATTGTCTATACATTACAAACATTCGAAAACCATATCCTTAAGTTCTAAACTGTACACAAAGTTTAAACCATCCAAAATTATACATATCTAACTTTATAAATATATCGACAACTATTAAGAGATTATCTAAAACTACTATAATTAAAGAAACTGGTTAAAATTGCATTCACTCGTGCTACATCAAGACCAACAACCCAGAAACTAAAATAGTACCACTTCAACTCTGCTCTTCACCTTCTCTAAGTTCTCTTTCTGCAGCAGTAGCTGCCATCAATTCATCAAACTTCTCAGTCTTCCCCAACAATATCTCAATCTGTGAACCAAAAGACATATTATCAACAGGTCAAGGCTAGATTACAACAATAGCTTAATTTGCATGATTTTACAAGTGAATCTTTATGGTTTGCAACCCAAATCAATTCACAATTCAACAAAAAGGAAATTTCAATTCATAATTTGACAACTATGATTCAAATCACTTTGTAACTCGGATGAAAAAATAAACAAATTAAAAAAAAGAAGGAACTAACATAAAGAACAGAGAGTACCTGATCACAAACTATTACTGTGTGTGGACCATATCCAGATTTTCTAAACTGATTAGATAAACCAACAAATGCATAACATAAAAAATAAAAAATAAAAAAAGGATGATATTAACTAAATGTAAAGTTTAATATAAGCACAATGTCAGACTCAGAATGAACATCAATAAAAATCATGAAGAAAATCTAAGGATTGACAATTAATCTTGCATAGCATAACCAGTACCTGCACAAAACACATGCAATGACCTCAGCATCTTCTGGATTTTTGACAATTCGAATGCAACGCTTGGTTATCCGTTCAATAAGATCAACTCCTGAAACTCTTCCAGCTAGCATTAGCATTATGCTCCACAAACTTCTCCCTTTGGAACATGTTCTGGCAATACTTACAATACCATTTACCACGAGGAATGCTCGACAGTGATGCACATTCTGCATAGGTCAGTAAGAATGTACATCAAAATCACTCACGTTGACCAACCACCATGGAACCAATTCAGAAAGGCAACTAGTACAGTACAGGAAAACGGTCGAAAAATCAAGTCTTTGTGGTCTGGAAAGAATTGACATGGATTGATGAAGCCACCTTAAACATGGATTGATCATTGGAAAGGGGATTCAAGTCTTTGTATTAAATTCCCTAGACTTTATCAGTCATGCACAACAAATGAGGTTTCTCTAAATGAGCAGATTTCAAGAAAAGACAGTTGAGACAGGTGGTGCTTTAGTTTCAATCCAAACATTGAAACTTTGGGACAAAGACATGTTTGATAATCTAGTTCAAAAGTTCAAAACATAAATTTTTCAAATGGCATACATCAAACAGAAAGCTTAATAAAATATGATCTTAAGCAAAGAAACTTTACCTTTTACATTGACGATAAAAATCAAAACTAACCTTAAGAACTTCGGGCAAAAGAAGCAAGCATTCCCTTATACACTTCTCAAGGAAAAAATTACAGAATTCAATAACCTGTTTCACAGAAGGAGTCAAAAGTATTAGGCAAAACACAAGCATTCCCTTATACACTTCTCAAGGAAAAAAATATGGTATTCAATAACCTGTTTCACAGGAGTCAAAAGTATTAGGTGAAACACAAAAAAGAGAATTTGATGGTTTGAAGCTTTGCCAGTCTATTAATTGAGACAAATATAGAAACAAAGTTCTATTTATTTTTTGGTTGTATGCAATTGAATAACTATAGGACACATCAAAACCAGTAAGGAAGTGCATATATACATCATCTATGCTCTTTGCAGTTTGTAGTCTGTTATGCATCACATGCCAGTTGGGTTCAAGAACCTGAAAACACAACGTATAGTATGATCATACGAGAAAACATAATATCTCTAAGGACCTCAAAATTCCTTGAAGAAATATTTTAGATTAGTTGTGCAAAGTTCCCACTCTCTGACAAACAAATACAAATTAGAAGTGGATAAGAGACATTAAATCTATTTGCTTCAGGTGCAGCAATTCATAATTGCTATCATTCTTGCTAGAAAAAAAATATATTTAAAAAATAAAAACGAGGAGAAGAGGAAGGGTAAAACATGCCTCAAATTTTAGATAGTGTAGAAGGCTATTAATAAACTTAAGCAAACTACGACACAGCAAAGATGACCGAGAGATTGCAGTTCCTTTTGTGTTAACAGCACACACACCCTACAATCAGATTGCAGTAAAATTAGACAAACAAAAGGAGCCAACATTCACAAATTGTGAAACAGATCTCTGCTCCATACTTGATGTATTTGCCATGCCCCACATTCACAAATTATGAAACAGAGTTCTGCTCCATACTTGATGTATTTGCCATGCCCCACAAAGTTGGAGATCCACGTGCTTATAATGAAATAGGAAGCGGAATATTAGCTGATATTTTGTTAAGGCTTTTCTTGATATAACAAGGGACAATGGCCATTGAACCTGAAACATGAAATAAACATCAATGAACTTATTGATGACAACCACCTTCTACAGACCAGAACACATCCTGCTAAGTGCAAGTGCCATGCTGATGCTGACACAATTTCTCACTCAAACATGTTCTCACCAAGATCAGCAACAATCTCAGCTACTACGAGATACTCAATTCAATATACCTTTATTTCAATTACTTGGGATAGCAAGGAACTTGGATCCATTTCCTCGAATTGATTCTATTCAAAGTAATACTCTCAGTTTAATTTAAGGTAATCTTGTCATTTCTTATCACCTAAGCGCATGTTCTCCTTGGCCTTCCTCTATTTCTTTTATCATCTCCACATTGATCAAATCACTCCTCCTTACAAGCACATTAATTGGTCTATGATACACATTAAGCGCAGCTTTTATACACTCAAGATAATGATGATTTGCGCCAAAGCTCACCACAAGGATCATCAATCACCCCTTCATACACCCACCTACATATATGAAATAAATTCTAGATTGAGTCATAAAATCGGCGAGAGTGAATTTATAGAGGATGAGCATATAACATCAACTACAGCAAATAAGATGCTACGGCAATGCTAACAACTGAGAAAGATACATATCAACAAATACCTAAATACTAATAATCTGCAGTATGTTCCAACCTACTATAACGTAAACACTGAAATTAAAATATTTACTATTTCCGTTTTAGCAAAGACTTAAGACTTCCTTATTCAATGATAATTATTTGCTAATTTACGTTTTAAAATACCATTCCTCAAATTAATGGATAGACAATAGTTACTTAGAATAACATAAAACAGTATTTTTTGCAAAGTTATATTATTATAAGGTGACGGTCAATGTGAAAAGTGTTCAGGAACAATAATCTACATGCTTGGGAAGAAGATGAGTTATTAAAACTCATTGATTTTCTGGGAACAGGGCCTAGGATAGGCATGGAGCATGAGAAATCTGTGAAATGGAAGGCTGATCAAGCAGGTGGGTTCAAGGTTAGCAGTGCCCATAAATGGTGTGATATGGATTTTGGTTCGGTTTACAGCTCTGCTGGACTGATATGGAACAACTTATCTACACCTAAAGCCAAATTCATTCCTTGGTTGGCCTGGAAGGGTGGACTTCTTGGTGCCAACCTAGTTGGAATTGACCTAGTTGGAATTGAGCGGTTTCACTATGATGCTCTTTGCACTCATCTGTTTTAATGAAATAAGAATTTCATATTTCCATCAATAAAGAGTTCTCTTTTGCTAATAAAAAAAAAATTAAAAATTAAAAAGAATTTGTCTCTACAAATTTATCAGAAAATCAATGTGTGGTTCGGATTCAACTCTTCTATAGGGGATTATGTACCTAGAATGATTCTAGAAGAAATATATATATTTTTCTATGCAAATTTCTGGGTACCAAGTATTCCCCAAATTGAAATATCAACAACAAAGATAACACAATTATAACAAAATTAATAAAATATTAAATAACAGAGCAACGAAAATATAATTCTGTACAAAATTGGCATCAAGGAAGACATTTACTAAAAGAAAAGGAATAAATGATTTTATCACAAAACAATTCACATATATATATCAGGGAATAAGCAAAGCCAAAGTGCTGGAACATTTTTGCTTTTATTATCATACTACAAGATAAGCACAGATGCAAACATCAGTTAATGTAAATACTCAAATCAATCAACCAATAGCCAAAGTCAAGAACGAGAATTAAATAACCTTACAAAAACATAGAATGCCAAATCTGTAACAATAAATAGACTAGATCAATAATAACCAACAAAATTTTAAAAGAAATAATAATTTATTTTTTAAAATTTATAACATAAAATATAAATAAATTAACACTCTGCATACCCCACACATTTCTCAATCTTTTTCTTTCTTAGCCTTTAAAAAGAAATATTTAACACAAAAGTTACAAAGTCCTTTTATTTTTTTTTATGGAAAAAATTTAGAACATATATATTCTACACATAAAACAGTTTTTGCACAACAGATTATCCAGATATAGAAACAGAAAGAACATTCCTCAATACAAAAGCAATTTAAAGAAATTAAAAATAAATATGTACAATTTTGTTTTCTAAAATAATACTCAAAAACAAAAAACATTCTATCCATACATAAAACACAAAACAAAATACACAAGAACACAACTAACACTTCTAAGAATATCAAGATTAACCTACCCACACAAATACATTCAAAAACACAAAATTAAAGAAAACGTTTTCAGTCATTTTCAATCATTATTGATTTGGAGTATTTGTTTTCTTAAGGGTGTTTGGGTTTTTTTCAAGTGTCCTACTATTAGTCATGTAGCCTATAAATAGGGTGATGTAATTTCATTTGTAGTGCAATTGAAGAATATTGACATTGATTAGAACAAAGTGTTCTAGTTCTCTTTCTTCTCTCTCTACCACCTTCTTGCTTTCTTGGATTCTTAATTTTCTTCTCTCTTGTTTTATGATATTCTTTCTTGGGTCTGGAGGAATAACAAATAAATTTATTCAATATTAAAACCCAAACCAATATGTAACTTCAGAATACAACAGAAGAAGAAGATGAGTAGAGACAGATGAATTTTTCATTCGGGCATTGCATCAAACTATAAGTTTTCTGAATGATTTCTGTATCATATATTCAATGTGTGAATGATTACAATCAGACCTCAGATTATATAACCCTAAATCCTAAACCAAAAGGAAGAATACAAATATGTCTCTAATAGGACTCAAACACAATCATACCTAATTTGGAAAATAATAGAAAATACACAATATATTCTCACACCCCCGCTCAAACTCAAAGTGTTTTAGCAGAAAACACTGAGAGTTTGCTAAAAAGAAATCGAAAGCGATGGTGAAGAAGTCCGCAAGTTGCAAAGCCGAAGGGATGAAAAGAAGCGAGATAGAGGCAGACTGCAGATGTTGGCGAACAAAGTGACAATCAATCTCAATATGTTTCGTCCGCTCATGAAAGACAGTATTGTGGGCAATCTGAACAGCATTGCGATTGTCACAATAGAAAGAGGTCGGAGAAGACTGAGAGACACCCAAATCAGACAAAAGACAACGAAGCCAAACAATCTCAACAGTGGCATGAGCCATAGCACAACACTCAGCTTCGGCAGTAGAACGAGCAACGACTAATTGTTTCTTGCTTTTCCAAGAGATTAAGGAATCTCCAAGAAACATACAAAAACCAGACATAGACTTACGATCAGTAACATCACCAACCCAATCAGAGTCAGCAGCATAGGCCACCAAGTCCAAAGAGGAAGTAGAGGACAACAATAAGCCCTGAAAGATGGTACCCCTGAGATAGCGAAGAACGCGAACCAAAGGAGCCCAATGGATAGAGCGAGAAGCAGAAACAAACTGACTAACCACATGAACAGCATAAGCAAGGTTAAGACGTGTGACAGTTAGATAAACTAAACAACCCACAAGCTCGCGATATAAAGTGGGATCATCCAGAGAGACACCATCAGTACAGTTAAGCTTTACATTAAGCTCAATAGGTATATCAGAAACCTTAGTATCAGTAAGACCAGCACGATGAATGACTTCATTAGCATACTTAGACTGAGACAAGAAATAGCCCTTGGGAGAAGAAGCAATCTCAATACCAAGAAAATACCGTAATGGACCCAGATCCTTCATTTCGAAGGTGCGGAAGAGATGCTGCTTCACATCAGAAATAACAGAAGAATCCGAGCCAGTGATGATCATATCATCCACATAGAGCAAGAGAGCCACAAAACCAACCGAGGTATGTGGCAGAAATAAAGCAGAGTCGAAAGCAGAAGGATGAAACCCAAGCTCAGTAACAACAATCTGAAATCGATCATACCAAGCACGAGGAGACTGTTTCAGACCATACAGAGCGCGCCGAAGACGACAAACCTGTCCAGAGGGATGGCGAAGGCCAGGGAGAGGACACATGTATACCTCCTCAATGAGATGGCCATTAAGAAAAACATTCTTCACATCCATCTAATAAAGAGGCCAAGAACGAACAGCAACGACAGAGATCAAAGTACGGACAGTAGTCATTTTGGCAACAGGAGCAAATGTCTCCTCATAATCAATACCATACTCCTGAGCAAAGTTCTGAAAAGCGGTTGCGGTCGCCGTAACGGTGGCGGTGACGCGGTTGCGGTTGCGGGGTGTAAAGACTGTAGTGTAACGGTTGCGGTAACCGGAACCGTGAATTTTTTTATTTTTCGCACAATTTGAAAAAAAACTCATCGATACGCATATTTTTTTTCCATAATCATATTTATTGGATTAAAAATAAATATTGATCAATTTTTATAAATTTTTAAATATGATTCAATATATTTCATATTTTTAAATCACTATAAATTGAGTTTTTTACATTTTATTTTAATAATTAATGACATTATATTATACAAAAAATCAATCACTAACTATTATGTATAAGATAAACAATGACAAAAGTAAGAGAATAAATAAGAGCTTAAATATATATATATATATATACACACACATATTTTAACCAAATAAAATAAATAATGACCACGCTTATTATTATTATTATTATTATTATTTTCAAACAATATATAGACAGACACACACAAACAAAATGGTTTAGTAATAGCAGCTGAATAGAATAGCATAGGTCATACAGTTTCAACAAATCAATAACATGTTCTTCATCTTCCCTCTTCTCTCTCTCTATCTCTTGCTTCTCCATTTTCTCTCTTTATCTTCCCTCTTCTCTCTATTCCTCTTCCCCCATTTTCAGCTTTTTTTTGTGTTTTTTCGAAAGAAACAGTTGGGAACCGTTACGTAACGGTGCGTAGCAGGCCGTTATGGCTGTTACGGCACCGTTACGACCGCTACCACAGCCGCTATGACCGACACACCTGTGAATCTCAATCACACTGCAAAAGCGGCCGTAACGGGTGGCGGTAACCGCCAAAACCGTTACGTAACGGTTGCGGCCGCTTTTTAAAACCTTGCTCCTGAGAGAAACCTTTGGCAACCAGACGAGTTTTGTAGCGCTCAAGAGACCCATCAGAATGAGTCTTGACTTTGTAGACCCATTTACAACCAACCAAGTTCTTACCAGCAAGCAAAGGAACCAGCTCCCAAATACTAGTTTTCTGTAGAGCAAACAACTCATCTTCCATAGCGTGAACCCAATGAGGGTCCTGACATGCCTCTTTGTAAGACTAAGGTTTTGAAAAAGAGTGAATAGCAGACAAAAAAGTACGATAGGAAGCAGAAAAACATGTATTAGACCAACCTAACCTGTTTGGAGGATGACGCGCTCGAGTAGGATATCGGTGTGCAACAGAATCAAAGTCGACAACAGTAGGAGGATCAGCAGTAGGGGTAGAGACAACTGGTGGAGAAGGAGCCTTGCAACGAGAATAAACTAACAACGGAGAAGGAGAACAAACTGAAAGAGGAGAAGCAGCCAGAGGTGAAACAGGAGGAGAAGATGAAACAAGCTCAGAAGAAACTGTGGAGATGTACTCATCAGACAGTACCTCAGAAGGAAATGGGTCAATGTGAACCAAATCCTCTTTGGAAACTAGAGCAGTGACAGGAGAAAGCTGGAAGTAAGGCAGACGTTCAAGAAAAGAATCATGACGGGAGAGATAAAGACGACGGGAAACAGGGTCGTAACACCGATAGCCTTTCTGAGTAGGACTATAACCCAAAAAGACACAGAGGACAAACCGGGCACTAAGTTTTGTCCTATCTTTGCGGAGAAGAAGGACAAAACAGGCAAACCCAAACACACGAAGGAGAGAGTAGTTAGAAAGTTGGGAGAACAAAGCCTCATAAGGAGACCGACCAGAAAAAATGAGTAGGCATGCGATTGAGAAGAAAAGCAGCAGTAAGAACTGCCTTCCCCCAGAACAGAGTCGAAACTGAGGCAGAGAGAAAAAGAGACCTAGCTGTCTCAAGGAGATGACGGTGTTTACGCTCAGCGCGACCATTTTGGGCAGATGTATCTGTACAGGAAGTTTGGTGAATGATACCCAAATTGGCCAAATACTCACAAAACTCAGTTGTAAGATATTCCCCACCCAAGTCAGACCGTAACACTTTAATAGTAGACCCAAACTGTGTAGTAATCATAGACTGAAAGGTACGGTATATCTGATAGAAATCAAACTTATGAGTCATAAGATAAACCCAAGTGTAACGGGTGCAATCATCAACAAATGACATATAGTATGCAGAACCCCCTTTGGTGAGAACAGGAGAAGGGCCCCAAACATCAGTATGAACTAAAGAAAATGGTGTATCAAATATAGAAGTGCTTTTACAAAAAGGTAAGGCTGTCATTTTGGCGAGTTTACACCCTTGACATTCAATAAGTTTACTAGGAGAAATTTTTCCCAAAATACCTAATTGAGCCAAAGACTGTAAGCGGTCAGCAGACAAATGCCTTAATCTAGAATGCCGCAAGTAGAAAGGACTGGACAGAGAATCTAACTGAAAAGAGGAAAAGGCAATCGGAGAGGTTGTCAAAGGCAGATGCAAGCTCTCTACTACATAGAGGTCCTCAACTCTACGACCAGTCCCAACCTGCTGCTTAGACATCCGATCCTGCACAGAACAGATAAAAGAGAAAAAGATAACATCAAAACCAGAGGCGTCAAGTTGACTGATAAATAATAAACTGACAGATAATTAAAGAACATAAAGAGCAGATGGAATAGAGACAACAGACATAACAGACGGTAGGACAGACCCAACAGATATAACAGACATAGCAGACCCATTAGCAGCATTGACAATAATAGGAAAAGGAGGAGTGCAATTTTGAAGTAAGGAGAGATGGGGAGTCATATGATGAGAGGCACCAGAGTCAAAAAGCCAAACAGACGAAGAAATACCTGAAAAAGACCCAAGCAAACCTGAATGAAGAGAGAAAACAATAGAGGTAGATGGGGATGGCTGGAAGTTAGACAATATATGCCGAAGCTGACTAATCTAAGCAATCAAGGAAGTCAAGTCAGGATTAGGAGTCGGAGCAGATGCAGTAAAATCAACAGGAGATTGAACAGACAGACATCCATTCTTGGGACAATGGTACTTCCAATGACCCCTTTGATGGCAGTAGGCACACTCATCTGAAGCCAATGGCCTTTTCTTGAGATTTGTAAAAGATTGAAGCTTATGGGTATCCGACATCAAAATGAACCAAAGTCATACAGTTTTGGGGTCAAATTATAATAAGGAGAAACTGGAGAAACAAACTGAAAAATACCACTATCTTAGTACTCAAAACACACAGGGAAGAGAGCCAGACTTCAGGCGAGAGAGACAGAGTGAGACCAGACCGAGAGCAAACTTTGCACGAAGCTCGTGAGATGCAGAGGTAGCTAACCAGAGTTTTCGGCGACTCAAATGGGTTGTGACGAGGGTTTCTCTTCGTCTGTCTCTAGGTTACGAACCAAAGATACGAACCAGATGATTAGACGAACACAGATGGAAAAGAGGGAGTTACGATTGGCGACTCAGAGGGATAAAACCAGAGGACTGATTTCCGAGAGACGATTGGGATGAAGAAGAGCACCGATGATCACAACTCAGTGAGATTCTATGAAGAAAACACCACAGAGACAATTTCTAGGGTTTCGGCTCAGAGACGACTTTGATACCATGTAAGTTTTTGAATGATTTTTGTATCATTTATTCAATGTGTGAATGATTACAATCAGACCTCAGATTATATAACCCTAAATCCTAAACCAAAAGGGAGAATACAAATATGTCTCTAATAGGACTCTTAACACAATCATACCTAATTTGGAAAATAATAAAAAATACACAATATATTCTCACACAAACAGTTGGAGGACAAAAGATGTAATAGGAAGAACAAATTCATGATAAAGAACAAAAGTATAAAAAGTACAAATCAACAACCACAAATCCAATTCAATGTGAGGACAAACCAAACTTAGACACAGAGAGCCAAGAGAGTTCTCAATCAAGCAAGCATAGAATAATGAAATTAAGAACTGGATTGCACAACTAATGGCATATGGAAGTTGAGGAAGGGCATACCTCGTATGTTTCTTGAACCAGATTGACAACAATTTGCATCAAGGCAACAATTACACCTATTATAAAATAGAAGAACTTGTGAAGGAAGACTCAAGAGACAGCTGCAGCAGGTCAGGTGGCAAGAGGTGAAGGGCAGCTTGTTTGAGAAGCATCCTCTTCCACCGAGCTTGCTGAAGATGCCCCAACAATGCATATTTTGTGAGGCAATCTTCATGAGGGGTGAATTTGGCATCTAACCTGTTAAGACACATTGATGTTAGAGGCACATTTTGCTGCTTTTATAGATTGTTATAGATATAGATATATGCATACGTACATAAACACAATCAAAAGAAACCTAATTTTAAAAAATAAAATAAAAATCAGATTGTGTTCTTCTCAAAATAAAAACCAAATTTATAAAACAACCTTCAATTTCACAAACATTGTAGAATACAAATAGCCACATAGAAATAGCCCTCAAACCATTCAAACGATCTTCAATTCATTTCCTTTATTGGTAAGTTTTTGTATGGGCATGATTTTTTTTTTTTTTTTTTTGAAATGGCATTGGCATGAAATAACTCCCTATAATTAACAGTTCTTCCTTAGCTTCTCTGCAAACCTAATTATGGTCAAAAATTGGATGACACAGACTTTGTGAAACGAAACTTAATTGTAACGAATGTGGGAAAAATTGTTGGCTAATGTAAATTTTGAACTCCAAAATCTTATCAACAAATAAATAAATACTCAACTCCAAAATCTTTATTTTGTATTGCTTTAGAATTTGGAATGACCTTTCTTAAACATTTGAAATAGAAATCCAAGTTAACGTCACTAAAGTCTGGAAAAGTAATCTTTTGTGCCCTAAAACTCTTTCTGAGTTTCCGTGGTGTATTTTTGGATATCTTGTCATGTCTGATTTTGTTCTACCAGAAGAATAGGTAGTATAAATAGGAAGCAGGGCAGTGAGTATTCAGCTGAAGAACAACCATAAAAGAAAATTTATTTGCTTACCAAGTTGCCCAACCCTAAGACTAGTTTCTTGACTGTAGGCTTGAATTGCTAAATGACTGATCTCTGGTCACAAAACCTTGTGTGGAAGAATGAAGATAAGTACAGAATCAGCATTTCCGTGTAATATTTTTTCAAAATTCAAACTATAGGAAATTCAAAACAAAAAACTAGAAAAATAAAAATATATAGCAAATTCAAGCAAGACGAAGATTGAAAATTGAGGAAGGTAGCTGGGAGTTTGATATAAGCCTCTAATCTGGGCTGGCAATACTTATTTGAACATTGCGTGACTTTTTCATGAGCAATATGGCATGGAGGGCAACAAATCCACTAACATTTGGCCTGTTCATTGTCTTTCCAAATATATAATGAGCTTTTTTTTATTTTTTTGGGAGCAATCGGTGATCAAGTCTTCTAAAAGTCAATGGTCAAGTTTCCCTAAATGTTTTAAATATGAAAGCACTCAACAAATAGTTTTCTAACTATAGTTAATCATGTTGCATGTTTTTCTTCAAGTTATGGAGTTCCTGTAGGATTCTCTAGTTTTAGATTCCATAAATTAATTTTTTTTTTATACAATCACAACTACAGGACCCTCCCTAATTTTCGTAATAGAACCCAATTTCTATAGATTCAACAAATTTATAAAAATAAAAAATAAAAAATTTCGTGTTCAACCCAGGAACCTAATTTCACATTTAGGTTTAATTTTTCCAATTTAGATTCAGATAATTTCACAACCTAAAACACAATTTTAATTTTTTATTTGCTCAATCAAAACCCTATTTTTTCAATGAGAGAGAGACCTGAAACAGAGTGGTAGCATAAATAATGTAGTTCCTCATCCTCCCCTGAGTGGTTATACAAATCTCATTCTCATTAATCGGCGTCTCTGGCCTCAGTTTCTCTACCCTCTGATATCGATCCATCTAAACACAAAAACCCCAAAATCAAAAGCACAATTTTTTCTCCAAAAAATCAAAAACCCAACAAGAAAACAGCAAAAGGGTATACATAAATTAGATCTGAAGAAGGGAATAGGAAGAGGGGTAACCGTGGTGAGTGTTGAGCGAGTTCGGAACGGGTAAAAGGTAATGGAAGTCTTTGAAAATCCGCTCTCGCCTTTTGCTAGTCTCCATGGCAGCTCTGGATCGATGAATTTGGTGTGAGAAGAGCCATGTTCGTTGTGGGTTGTAGAGAGATAAATTGGAGGAGAGAGTGAAATTGGTGAGAATATGATTTAGGGTTTGAAATGGAAGAACGTGGTGGAGTAAAGAGCAGTAATAACCTCTGCAGATCACTGTTAAGTTGAGGAGTTTTAGGCCCCGTTTGTTTTGGTTATACCAAGGGGATTAGGATTACTAGTACCTTGGGATTAGTATTGGGGTGTTTGTTTTGAGAGATAGCCTTGGGACTATTAATACCTTGGGACTAACTAATACCTTGGTATTACTAATACCTTGTTTGTTTTGAGAGATAGGGAGGGTACTACTAATACCTTGGTATTACTAATACCCTTAGGGAGGGGATTCATAGTGAGGAGGTAGAGATGGTATTAGAAAAATAGTGAGGGGATTAGAAATTTTTTTTATTTTTTATTTTTTATATATTGGAAATTTTTTTTAAAATATAATTTTTAATTTTTTATATTTTTTTATTTGTTTTATTATTTTATATAAAAATAATTTAACAATTCCTCACTACTAATCCTCTCACTATCAATCCCCTCACTACTAATCCCTTCACTATCAATCCCCTCACTAACAATCCTCTCACTAACAATCCCCTCATTATTAATCCCCTCCATTCTATCTCTGAAAACAAACGACCATCACTAACAATCCCCTCACTATTAATCCCCTCACTATCAATCCCCTCTATTCCATCTCTTGAAACAAACGGGGCCTTAGCATTTGTAGAGAGAGAGAGCGCTATGCCCAATTCAAAGAGTTTCATTTTAGCATTCGGCGCCACAGTATTTTATTTTGGCGCTTATTTTTATTTTGGTCATGTTATTCGCGACATAAATTGTGTGTCGTGAAAAGTAAAATATTTTTAAGGGCAAATTACATATACACCCCTCGAGGTTTGGCTAAATTACAGATACCCCCTGAGGTTTGAGAAATTACGAATTCCCCCCTGAATGCTATATTTGCATAAGAAATTAGGGGGTAATTTGTTATGAAATATAAACCTCAGGGGGCAAATTGTTATGAAAATACAAACCTCAGGGGGCGGGATGTAATTTCCGAAACCTCAGGGGGGTATCTGTAATTTAACCATACCTCGAGGGGGTATATGTAATTTGCCCTATTTTTAACGGCTAGTATATGTATGTCGTGGAAAGTATACTTTTTAATGACTGACTTTTCGTGCGCCGTAAAAAGTGCACTATTTTTAACGGTTGGCTTTTTGTGCGTCGTGAAATGTTTAATATTTTTAACGGCTGGTGTACGATTGTCGTGTATAATTGATGTATTAACGGCATGCCATATACACACTGTAGAAAATTTTATTATTTACGACTAACCTTGCAAGTCGTAAAAAAATCTTCATTATTAGCATTCACGGCCTACACAATAGACACGTCGTGGTTAGAAAATTATTTACGACATGCAAAAAAATTAAATCGTAAAAGTGAGAAACCACGGCTTGCATTTACTGTATGTCGTTAATGTGGAGCCGTAAAAACTTAGTTTTGTCGTAGTGCAGAGCTTGTGTCAACTCCAACCTATCATGAAGCCTTTGAAGGTCATCCTTGAAACCCCACGCCAGTTTGATCTGTTTAGTTGCCAGTGGAATCAAGGGATTCAGGATCACCTGAGCAGCAGAGATGAGAACAGGCAGAGACATCTTTGATCTTTCTTTCTCCTTACAATTCTGAAAGAAAACTTGGATTGGATTGGAAACAAATTCCTAGAGAATACAAAATAGATTTTTGTGTTGTCAAGCCGGAAGGTGTTGGAAAGCTTCAAGCCACCATTTCTCAAATAATTGAAATGAGAACATGTGGGTGCTATTTCTATTCTATCCACAAGTCTTTGATTATTGGGAAAAATAAACGGGACCGGGCTGCTTGGGGTAGTAATTTACCCGGGTAAGACAGATCACTGGTTAACTGTCTTGAAAGGGTAATTTTTGGTGAAAATTTGGCCGAGCTATGAGATGGACTTTATGGCCCAAAGTATGACGGACTGGGTAAAAAAGGGCCGAGAAGTTTCTCCGGCCCAAGAGAGAGGAAGTTACTCCGGCCAAAAGAGATGAAGTTACTTCGGCTCAGGAATTGTAAAACTACTTCGGTCCGGAAGCAACTTGGAGTTATACCGGTCTTGGAGTTATACCGGTCGCGAATCGTTGGTTCAGTCCAAACATACCATGGGTTGAACAGAAGATAACCGAGGTAAGGAGGAGTAACGGAAGAACCGAACTAAGGATAGTTCGGCCTACTCTGTGGCTCAGCATAGCCAGTTTTACTTCGGTCAAAAATGGTAGTTCGGCCATGGTAAAAACCATCCCACTTGGTTTAAGCAGTGGGGGGTGTAAAAGGATGAACATTATGCTATAGGAGTATGAATCCTAGGAGGACTCTGCATAGAGGAATAAAAGTCCTACTAGGATTGTGCCACTCGAAACCTATAAAAGCTCACAAACATCACCTTGGAGGAGGCATCACACAATTTTGCTTTCTGAATACTCAGAGCTTTGTCTATTTGTCAAGTTTGCTGACTTAGGCATCGGAGAGGTTTCCGGCACACACCCGCCGGCCAGCTCACGTTTGTGTTTTCAGGTGATAAAGCGACGTCGTACGGAGGAGCGCAGACTTAGCCAACAGGATTATACGAGAAGGTGTATTTCTTTCCCGTACAATTGGCGTCGTCTGTGGGAAGAACAGACAGAACAAAACCTCTTGATTAAAGCTTCTCCTCTCTTCAAGCAATGGCACACATTGAAGAATTGTCACAGTCCGCTGTCGACGGACTAACTCCTGATGGAGGCGCAAGGCGAGAAGGATTACCTTCTGTCCCTCCCATGGCGGACTTGAAGCCCCAACAACATAACTCCAGGAGGGACGCTAGGGGAAGACGGCCTAACAGCCCCCGTCGCTCTCATTCGCAAAGTCCAGACAAGCAAAGGAAGAGGATTGACCCTCGGGCTCTGGAAGACCGCGTAAAAGAGCAAGATGAATTGATAAGAAAGATGGCGGCGGACATGGAGGCCTTGAAACGCCAGATGAAAAAAAAAGAAGTGGCGACAGGAGAGGGGCGCAAAAACAATACGCCCCCTCGCCACTCAGAAAATCATAGCAGGAATACTACACCTTCACAAGGAGAGAGTAGAAGCCTCAGGACAGGCAATACTCAATCATGGTCTTCCAGAACTCGTCACTCCAGGTCTGAGAGGACGAGATCTTAAAGATCATACACTGAAGGAAGCACGTATTGGCCCTCGCATTCACACCAAACCAGATCTAGACAAACAGAATTGCCCAGATCATCCGACTTACGAACCGTGCTCGAAGAAAAAGCACGATGCAAGGAGGATGCTAGGGCGCGGGATCCGCACAGAGTTTCTACCTTACAGCGGTTGGCTCCTCGGACGCATGGAAGCGTCAAGGTTGGAATGCCAGTGCCGCACCCTGCCTATGAACCAACAGACAAAGCATTGGCAAGGCTGCAGACTTCGCCATTTGTTCCAGCGATTGAAAACGCGCCCCTACCATCAGGCTTCCTTCAGCCGAAATTCACTACATATGAAGGGAAGACGGACCCGTACTCACACTTAAGCCACTTTCGCCAAGTCATGGCCGTTTACAGGCGAAACGAGGCCTTAATGTGCATACTCTTTCCGTCTAGCCTTGGCGACCTAGGCTTGACTTGGTTCGAGAAACTTATTGAGGGCAGCATAGCCTCTTGGGCGCAATTGGCAGAAGCGTTTGTGACAAGGTTCCGAACAAACACTAAAACTCCGGTAGAGATCGACCAGCTACTCTCCATCGACATGGGAGATAAAGAGACCCTAAGATCCTACAACAGTCGTTACTGGGAGACATTCAATCAGATTGGGGATTGCCCCACCAATCTCGCCATTGCACAATATAAAAGAGGCCTTCCAGTCGAGAACAGGCTACGGGACTCGATCACCATGACGCCACCCCTCACCATGGAAGCCCTGATGGAAAGATCAGCACATCAGGGTAGAAGAGGACGGCGCACGCGCCAAAGCAAAAACTGGTGCGACCGCAGTACCAGAAAAGAAGACCTCAGCAAAGGTCAACACAGTAGATCGTCAAAACAAAAGCGGACGTGGCAGACGGGATAACGGAGAAGACCCTGATAAGAGATGGTTGAGAATCCGCACTGCCATAACCACAGTATTCAAGAAACCGATATATCGGATTCTGAGCGAAATAAGAGATGAGCCTTTCGTTAAATGGCCAGCCAAGCTAGGAGAGGCTCAGAAAGACTACGACGACAGATCGCGGTGCACCTTCCACAAAGAAAAGGGGCACCGAACTGAGAATTTCACACCATTGAGACAACACTTGGAGGAATTGGTAGCAGCAGGTCACTTGGACAAATACATTGAAGGAGGGACGCAACCAGCCCCCCAAGACCATAATAACCACCCTAACGGAATGCCAATTGACGCCCGCCTCAAGGCGTTATCAATGTGATACATGGAGTTTTTGAACCTGAGCATGTATGCGAGCTCAGAGAATCAATCAAAAAGGCTGAGCACTTTAGAGAAGTGCTAAGTACCCAACTTGCCATCAAGAAGGGGAAAACAGAGGCAGCAAACGTCATGTCTTTTTCGGATAAAGACTTAGACCGAATATACTGTCCTCACAATGATGCCCTAGTCGTCACTCTCCGAGTCAAGGATTTTGACGTCAAGCGGATTCTGATTGACCAGGGTAGTTCATGTAAAATCATGTACTATGAAACATTTAAACAATTAAAGCTGCAAGACAAAGACTTGGCACCTGCCGTATCTCCCCTAATTGGATTCAACTCCATGCCAGAATGGCCCGTCGGCAAAATAATTCTTCCGGTCAGAGCAAGAAGCATAACGAAACAAGTGGAGTTCTGGGTGTTGAAGGTCCCCTCCACTTACAACCTCATCCTGGGCAGAACATGGTTGCATGCCATGCGATCAGTGGCATCATCCTACCACCAAGTAATGCGGTTCCCAAACGACGCTGGAGTAATTGAAGAGGTCTATGGAGATCAGATCATGTCGAAGCAATGCTTCGCCACTGTGAATGGAAGCCGCGCTGCCAAAGGATACGTTCATTCAGTAGAAGAGCCT